TTAGTTTACTTTTAACCTAAATGGTCCATTTTCTTATAAATTTACAAAAATTGATGAATTATTTGTCTTGCTGTCATCATTTATTATTGTCCCACATTCTGCAACAGAATATATACGTAATAACGGGGTCCGGGGTTAGGCATTGTAAATAAAAATAAATATTTTTTTGTTCAATAATTTTTAATATATGCATTGTTGACTTCAAACGCTACCAAGTGAACCTAACCTAACAAATAGGAAATACCTTATTTCTTTACTGCAAAAGATCTGCGCGTCTTGCGACGTCCAGCTCCTAAATAAAACACAAGCAATCATTTTCTAACACCTTTATCTATTTAAAAACATCAAGTGTGTGCGACGTATCCATTGGTGACGTACACTTCCGCCCTGTAAACGACTGACTCGTAACAGATCCGAACTTTAACACCCTCTCAGTTAAAATTTACAAATATTACTTTCCTGTTATCTCAACGGGAACGTTACAAAGTTCTGCGCGTATTATTTTTTGTTATATATTTCGTGGTATACATATAGATAATATATAATTAATTTTCAAAAGAGCGCATCCGCTCGCAGAATTATTTTCGACTTGGTTAAACAAACTGTGCTGCTGCTACTTGCTACAGTTTATAGATTTATAGTATTAATTTTAGAATGGGATTAAGTCGTCGAGGTTTAGTATGAACTAGGCCTTTTCGGAGTGAAGTTATTTTATTTTATATATATCGCTTATAGTTGCGGTTAGGGAGACGATTATTGATTACCTACATTTCCATTATGTATAGAGCTGTAGGTATGTACATGATTTGATTTTATTCTGCTTGAAATGGACGGTTGTTTGTTTGATTATTCTGGATGTCAACGAATGCAAAATATTTTGCATTCTGATCCAGAAATCCAACAACGTAAACATATATAGGATGTCCGATTTAAAATTTAAACCCGGACCCATTTCGAGTGAAACCCGAAGCGACACAAAATTGAAACATATCTGAAAACTCTCCTCTTTTATGCCATCAATTAGTACCAAATTTCGTTTAGTATAGTGTGGTTGGATAAATGACACTTTAGTGACAAATTTGTTTTGAGCGAGTGAAGCGAGTGTTTAATAAACCTAACATGTTTGCTTGCTATAATTTTTCTATGATATTATTTTTTGAGTACATTTTCGCAAAACAGCACGAACGCATTCACTGAGCGTCATGTGACATGACGAACAGAACTGATCGTCAAACTAAATTAAAATCTATCTAAATATCTGATCGCTCCCAAACCAGTGTCTAAAGTTTCGGAAACGTCCGAAGCATCTAACGACAGTGGTTAAGGAAAATGACGTCTTAAAGTGACACTCTGCTCACTGTTGATCAAATGCGTACTTCATTATTTTAGACTGGAGAATAGAAAACTTGTTTGACGTCTTAAAGTGACAATTTGCGCACTCTTGATCAAGTGCATAATTCATTATTTTCGATTGGAGAATTGCATTAGGAATACTCTCTTGTAGACTCTTTTTAAAAACCTAAGTCACAAGTAGACATGAATTTGTCATTTTATTGACTTTGGTAGAAATTATAATTTTCTTCCAACTTCCTTAGGGCGTATTTTTCGTATTTGCTGTATTTCCAGTTTTCTAAATTTGTTTCTAATTTTAATTCTTTATGTAATGATATCCAACGATGTGATCCAGTAGTTGGTTATACGTAGTCAAATTTAAATTTCAAATAAGCCTATAGATTTGGCGTTTTAACACACAGCTCCATACACATATCTACAAGGCCTTAAAAATGAAAAATAAACTTGACGCGTCACACTATATAAAAGTTGTTTTTCGTCGGACGTAGCTTTAGATAGAGTAAAAATATCAAAGTCACTGTTATAAGCGTATCTACCTAATTGTCACTCATTTAATAATCGATAATTATTCCTCCCTTTCCTTGTCATAGGAATTCGCCCAAACCCCACGTCCGACTTAGAAATGGATTTAGTATCATTATGCAGACAAAAGTCAATGCAAAACGCTATAGGGAAAATGATACGGGTGGGGAATTCGAAAAATGAGGGTGACCTTGTTTTTCGCATCTCCTCTCGAAAGATAATGCGGCGCCGCGAAAGAGGTGATCGTTTGCGATTGGTCCCCTTCCGGTCCGCCCCTCCACGTGTATTTGAGAGGCTGCGACCGCCTACCGAACAAATGAACCTATGCCCGCGTCCAATTGCGATGTGCCGGCGATCGGGCAAAAGTCGACGCGCACTTGCCAGTAAATAGAATTCGATGAATCACCGCCTGGATTTGGCATTGAATTTGATTTATCGCGTTTAGCTGATTGCCACCGTGTCGTTCTTTCATACGCCATTGTTATAACTGTTTAATATTTAATTATGACCAACGCATAATGACTTTATGTGTATAAAATACGTACGGTTCACGCAACACAAATTCTTCTCAATCCAGTGAATGCGAAATCTCCACAAAACTTGGAATATAAATAATTTAAAGACTGTATGTCTCCGTTACATAGGGTAAACGAGGCTACTTTTGGATTGAGTATCGTCCCATAAAGAATTTTTTACTCCCTACTCTCAAACACTCAATTATGTACGGATCAAGCGTGTCGATATTATCACTTTAAGACGTCAGGGCTGGAACTCTATAATTCGTTTTATGTGAAGAAGGAGAGAATATTTCGGTGATGGAGCATTTTTAAACTCTGTAAACGCTTTCGGCTACGTACGGTGATTTGTTTTCACAATTATTGGAGAGGTTGCAGTCAAAATAATTTTTTAAATTTAAAAGTGTCTACATATGCTATTATATAATATTTTTGTGTTATGTAAAACGTTAAATTAGTTCCGGTTCTGCACTATTGTAGTTTAATTTTCTGTGTTAATATTTTTTCTTATAAATAGTTTCCATGTGATATGTTTTTGTGCTACAACGTACTACGAGTTCAGATTATTCTATTCTAAGTCTAAAATATCTATTAACAATTTCTGACCGCAAAACCGCAGATACATAAATAATTCTGCCAACTTTTTCAGGAGTATAACATAGTTTGCGCATCCCCCATTATGCATCTAAATCGAGTTTTAAAAACACCAATGCATCTTTTCACAGTACTTCGGGTTTGTCACATGACCCAGGATTGTAATGCATATCCTGAATCCTCTAACAACCAATATATTCCTTTGACGTCGAATGAAGCAAACGAATATAATTAAAATATATCTCGACATCCATAAGTTGGCATAAAAATAAAGTAAGTGCTGAAGATCATATTCATTCACAAAAATTGATTGATATATCACATATTATGCATAGTGAAGAGCAGAAAATGAAAATATGTAGAGCTTATCTGCAGCATATTGAGTTTCCAATCACCAAAGCACGCCAATGCGTCAGTTAGTAATCCGTGACGTCCACTTGTTATGTGCATGTGTCATTTCCATGTGGTGTGATGATTGCTATATGAATCCTATATATACAGCCAATAATTCCTGGGAATCCACCTTTTCCCATAAAAGCTGTTTTAATTTGAGCATTTCCTTGTTCAGTTTGGGGAAAACAGATCCAATGATTAGACAGTTGTTGAACTATACTCTTTTATACATCGACTGAGAGTCTGTTGACTGGCTGCACGCAAGTACTCCTCGCCAACATTCCTTTGGTAGGACCCAATTGAGAACTAGCTTCTCATTTAGCCAAAACAACTCAAGAACTCCGCTCTTGCAGATTAAATGGATCACTTCTATCTCTCATCACCTTTTTTGTAATTTTTAGATTTGAGATTCGTCGTCGATTCTCCTCTTTGTGTAAATGTCTCAAAACAGCATACTTCTGTAATTTAAGATGGGGATTATGAACACAAATTTTTAAAATGTTCATGTCCTAAAAGGTCTCAGGATAGAATACGAACATAACAAACATAACCTACCTGTAATGCTCTGCTCTATATTTTATGCTGATTTAAATTAAATTAAATGTGCAAAAATGAACTAACAAACGTTAGTCGACCAAAATAAAAAACGATTTTTGGTTAGGTTGGCGTTTTTTCATCATAGCTTCTACGTTTTTATCTGGTGGAGTATAATTATCCGTGCCGAACCGACGAAACGAATCCTGGCGAACGATAGCCGAGAAGTCTAGAGAAATGTTTACGGAGTAACGTCGGTATGTAACCACGGTTTCCCTTCGCGTCCGCATCTCTTTCGCTTAGGAATATGATACTACCGATCATCGCGAGCCACTTTAGGTACTTTAGTCACCGGTTTTCGGTGTTTTGACATTTCTCTGTTCTGACGGCCGCGTGGTTAATCTATTCGTAGTGTTTGGCAAAAATGTACCTTAATGGTCGGTCATAGGAAAAGTACTTACTTATTTTTAAATTCACTGCAGTTTTCTTGGTATCTAAAGCTTAACAAAAGAAGCCTATCAAATTTTGGCAGGTACGTCGGAGGATATCAAAATTTAGGTGCTGGCATACCGGCGATGGTAAATGTTACGATGGTGGTTAAATTAGAAAAAAAATTTAGAGCGTGCTGAAAATAAATTTATGTTAGTTTGGCAAATGTTAGACGAGTTATAGAAATATTCACACGAACATGAACCTGCATTTATTTTTGTTTTCTTTGAGCATCCATTTTTTTGCAATTATGATTGAAAACCAGGATCGTATTTAAAAAAATAAATAGATGATGGTAGCGTGCAAGCAAATTTAATGCCGCCAACTTATCGAGGAGGAAAAGAACTATGGCAATTTGAAGTTAATTTTAAGATATTTCTCAAAACTCAAAATACAAAAAAATATATTTTTACACTAACTTTATGTAGAGAGAACAGGAGCGTTTTTTCTCTTTTACCCGATACTTTGATCATGGCGGTTCAGCACAATTTCGTATTTGTTGTATATTTACGATTTATTATATTATAAGTATATAGATGGCGTGGCAAATTTGAGGTTGTAAACGAGGTTATAATCAGATTTTTGTAATTGATTTTTCAGGTACAGGAAGGTACAGCGAAGCATATAGCGATGCGTACGGCAGTAGTCCGTACGCGGACGGTTCCCCATTTCAAACGGTACCGAGCGGCGGCAGCAGCGGTTCCGATCAATGGGGTCACACCCACGAGATAACGTTGTCGCACCACCCGCACCCGGGCCAGGATACGAAACCGATGATCCAGAACGGGATGATTACGGGTTATCCTAACAATCCTTCGAGTACGGGTGGACCTTGTTTTACGGGTAAGTGCAGCATGACCGAGGATGGGGACCGCCTTTACAGTATGGTCACTGAGGTGTACAACAAATAGGAATTTTTTGATTAATTGCCTTTATATTAATTGTGTAGGTTCTTTACTAATTCACAATTTCCTAAATCCCTGAAATACTGTGATTATCATATGTGTGCAGATGACACTCGGATTTATTATTCTTTTGATTCATATAAAATAGACCTTAGTACTGACTAAAATAATCGTGACATTGGAGCCAAAAAAATGTCTTCTCAAGATTAATCCGAGTAAATCGAGACAACATTTCTCTAAAAATGCTATGAAAAAATTGATTTTTAGCTCATAAATTAAGATTTAAGGAACACATTGGATGAAAATTAAAGATGGCGTATTCTGCGCTGAAAATGCGGTACTCGCATAGGCACTATCTAAATCAGAAGCTCTAAATCTTGTGTCTGAGGTTGATCTTCGCATTCGTCGAAGAAGGCATACATCTCGGTTTATTGCATCCTTTGCAAGATTCTTAAAATTATTTATTGGTCCCAGTTACATAAAGGTAGACTAAAAGATATTTTTACTATCCCTAAACATCGATTGAGACGATTTTTTTCTTACTGTGTTGCCTCGTATTTAAAATTTAGTATTATCGATTTTACACGATCCTGCAATACATTTAAACGTACCTGAAGGCACATTTATCTCACTGTTATCATAACATTAATAATTCAATGGAGTTGTAAATGTATATATTTTATACTGTACTTTTCTCTTATTCGAATCCTTTTTTATCTTTTTCGTCTCTCTCTTCTGCATATTAACCCCTGGCTTATAACAGTTATTGTTTCATTATTTACACTCATTTATGTATTATATTTTTATTTGTATTGTTAGTATTAATTGTGAACGTATTTTCTAATATTTTTTGGGCTACAACAGCACTTGCATAGATTTAGTAACCCATTGTTTTCATTTATTTACAGTTACTTTTTTTGTCTGCATTGTGTTAATAATTGTTTTATTATTATTATTATTATTATTTTTGATTAAATAAAAATCAATTTATAAGTAAAGTTTATATATACTAGATCAAAACCAGCCAAGTAAATACTTTAGAATGTAAAATTCTTACATTTACAGGCTGTCGATTCATTCTGTTTTGGTTTCGAGAACTGGTTGTGATTTTTCAAAATTGAAGTTTTTCTATTTTCTTTATCCTCGATTTTAATTTCAATTTATCTTTGGAGAAGAATTGTGTTTTGCTATATGGTGGGACGCTTAAGAAAAGGACTTGATTTAATTAATCATTTCTACTGAAAATGGGTAGGCACTTTTGAATAGTTATCCCAATGTTAGTTATAATTTAAGTTAAGAAATCGAGTCCCTGATTATTCTTGCATACCTCATCAGAATAAAGGGAATTTAAGTGATTCGTTCATGTAGTTTATTTCTTGAAAATAAATATTAGACAAGTTATAACTTTTCCCTTCTCTACTTTTAGGTACTGGTAGGTACAACGATGGTTACGGAGACATTTACACTTCTCCGTATGATAATTCGCCTTTCCAAACTGTTCCGAGCGGAGGCGGCAGCGCTCCTGACCAATGGGGTCACAACCACGACTTGTCATTAGCCCACGGTCATCCCCACACCCATCCGGCGTTCCTTTCTGCTGGTTTGGCCAGAGACCAACTGACCGCACTCAGCCAGGACACCAAACCGATGTTACAGAATGGCATGATAAGCGGCTACCCGAATAATCAAAATGCGGGAGGTCCCTGTTTTACCGGTAAGTTTCACGTGGTTTTCTCGGTATATTTATAACTTTACCATTCGTGGCTAATAGAGGTAAGAAACAGTGAAAAGTGAACGTTATTTATCGAACTGTGAGACAATTTTATTTTGAGTTAGACGGACAGCCATCAGGCATTATTTATAATTATTTCTAAAGTTATATATAAGTGGTTGTCACATATATTGACTAGTTTTATTGGCGACAATCGTCATTATGGGATGACTTATCAGAGAATCTATAAAAAATATTCAAAAACCTGGATTCTTTTACACTTTGAAAATATTATATTGTTATTTATACAGGATGTTTGTGTATTCGTGGAAAAGTAACAACTTTATTATTGTAAATAAAAGATTTTTTGCCATATTTTGAATTTTACGTGAAAAATTATATTTTATTGTACGATTTGTGTTCAAAAAGTAAGGCGACTTTTGTAATTGGGCAAGCCATGTACATTTGATCTTCGACAAAGCACTTGAAATATTGACAACGGCATATGGTGAATCTACTTTGAGCAAAAAAAATGTTCATAAGTAATACAAGCTGTTCGAGGATGGCCGAGAAGACGCCTCGCTCTGAACGCCCCAGCACTTCAATAACGAATGAAAACATTGAAGAAGTGAAATATCACTGTTAGAGAAATCGGCGTCTTTATTGGCTCGTGCCATGAATTTTCTCAGCAGTTTTGGGCATAAAACATGTAGCAGCAAAATTTGCTCCGAAGCTGCTTACTTTTGAACAACAGGATCATCGAAGGAGCATCGCACAATAGCTGTTAAAAGATATCAATGTTGATCCTGATATACTCAAAACGGTCATAACTGGTGACGAATCATGACGTTGAAATCAAGAGCCCAGACCTAAAAAGCACGTCAAGTTCGATTAAATGTCAAGGTTTTACTTACTGTTTTTTTTTATTATCGTGGCGTACTACATCAAGAGTTCTTACCACAAGGACGTACGGTTAGTTATGTGCCGTTTGCGAGAAGCAATACGAAGAAAATGTCCGGAATTTTGGGAAAACAATTCAAACAAAACAACAATCATGGCTCAGCCACCATATTCACCGAATATGGCCCCCTGTGACTTTTTCTTGTTCCCAAAACTCAAGAAACCCGTGAAAGGAAGGAGGTTTGGAACGATTAAGAAGATAAAGGAAAAATCGCTGGAAGAACTCAAGGTTATACCAGAATGTGCTTACCAGAAGTGCTTCGAGGATTGGGAACAATGTTGGCACAAGTGTATTATATCTGGAGGGGATTGATTACTTTGAAGGGGACAGACAACATTAATTTTGATAATTAAATAAATACTTTTTAATAAATTTTAATAAAAACTTTACTTTTTGAACACACCCCATAATCAACATTTAGAAGAGGACACCTTCTTAAAAAGTTTTAAACGTTTTTTAAATTTTATCAAAACCATTTTGCATTTGCTGAAAGATATCCAGATGGACAAGAACCCACAATGCACAGTGATACCATTAGAATTAAGCACTTCATAAAACCGTTTTATAAAAAAAATAATTTGTATATTTATTTTTTAGAATGTAAATAATAAAAAGTCACAGTAAAGCCAAAATAATAAGTGACGTTTCTAAAATGCTTCATTGTTTTTTTTTCGCCATGTTTCGCCGTCATAGGATTTTTGCAATGGAGAAACATTTTTATTGCTAATATTTTGAAACATACAACTGTTTCAAATAAGCGACCTGATATAAAATTATCCCTTTTAAAAATAAAATGCCACTTATAAAAAGGACTGTTGAATTGAAAAAAAAATACATCGATTTTAATATTCCCTTTGATCACCCTGTATTTATTTCTAAAATATCAACATAGTAGATTTCCTTACATAAGGAGATCAATCCCAAGTATATAACAAAGGAAGTCGATAGATATATTTAGGTCTGCAAATGTTATTTTGACACAAAACTCAAATTGTTTCTATTTAATTTAAGCACGTTGTTATTTGTTCTTGAAAATACAATACAACGGTCCTGTGCTTTTAAAAGTAAGCAAGGGAACCGGAATAACTTTGTCTCCATTTTTTTTATATAGCTTACATGTTATCATCCCATAATAAATGGGACAAGAATTTCATTATATGCGCTTTTTTTTAAGCTTTTTAAGAAGTCAAACTAAAATAAAATTTTCAGTAAGAATACAGAGCAAATAACAGAGTCAAAAATTACTAACTGTCTTTTTTGTTGTAAAATGTGCCCACCTTTTCACACTGTTGCCATTCAGTTTAGAACGAGTTATATATATATATATATATATATATATATATATATATATATATATATATATATATATATATATATATATATATATATATATATATATATATATATATATATATATATATATATATCAATAACTTCTCTTTCATTTTAGGATCCGGTCCCATTCAACTTTGGCAATTTCTCCTGGAACTACTCACGGACAAATCGTGTCAAGGGTTCATATCCTGGACAGGGGACGGTTGGGAGTTTAAGCTGACCGACCCGGACGAAGTGGCGAGACGATGGGGCATCCGCAAAAACAAGCCGAAAATGAATTACGAAAAGTTGTCCCGTGGACTCCGGTATTATTACGACAAGAACATAATACATAAGACTGCTGGAAAACGGTATGTTTACCGTTTCGTTTGCGACTTGCAAACTCTGTTGGGGTAAGTTTACTTTTCTTCATTCTTCTAGGTAATGCATTACGATTTAAAATGTATACAGGCTGGTCCTTAATGAACGCACCAAAAAGCTGTTCTAGATTAAATAATGGTAATGTGCCAAATATGTCATATTAAAATGTAAGATTTTTATATGTGTTCAATTTTAGTTTTCGATATTGTTATTTCTGTTATAGCTGAGGCAGTTTTTAAAATTGCGACATGAAAACTTGGTTTTTCGAGATGGAGAACATGTGATATATAATATATAATTTTTTTTTTGAAGATTATGAAAGATGATTTCTAATTACAAATATTTTTTACTCCCTTCTGTAAAATGCCTAATTATACACCGATCTAGCGTGCGGAAAGCATCACTTTACCACGTGAGTTGCTTGCCCCACAGATCCGAGTGCCGTTTACCGCACTTGTTGAATAATATACTATTATTTCAATACAACACACCTGTTTCGAGATATTTTCATTTTAATTCCTCCATGAAGAATCGGCCACTAAAAATTGGTTGCAAGTATAACATTAGTTTTCTCGCTAACAGTTTTTTGATTTTGATTATCTTTTTCTGCGAATTGTCACGTACCGTTTTTACTTAGAAATCATCACTCATAATCGTAATACCTATCTTCAAAACTCCCGATTGCAAATTTTCCCGCTGGTATCTCAAAAAAATATTTTACAAACTCAATAATTTCAAATATGCGCAAGTAAGATAGTGCTGATTAAGATACATTAGCGTTACCGAAGAATCGATCAAAAAAAGTTCATTGAAAACAGCTTGAGCCATCGAAAAATAACAATTATGAGAACCTCCCTATGCCCCCTATACCACTAATGAGCGACATTTTACTAAGGCATATTTTCACGAGTTTAATCGAGAATTGCTTATTGAATTTTTTGGGTCAAGTTTTTTTTTTAATTAAATTTATTTGCCGCTCTTTGAAAGCTTCTTCAGAATTTCGTCAGTCATACAAGATAATGATGTCAACCAAAAGTTGCCTTCTTAATGTTCGCACATTGTCAGCTTGGGAGTACTAAACCACTCTTAAAGTCATTTCGTCTGCTCACTAGACGGGGAAGCACGATACAGAAGCTGAAAGTTGAAGAAATTATTGAAAGCGTGAAACACACTTTTCCATGTACGACCACGACGAAGGGTGACTCTTGGCTAATATTAAAATTCGACAGCAAAGTGTAATTAAAACAAAGTTCTCTTGGAAATAAACAATGTTGTGATTATTTGAAAAAACATGCGTTTCCTAGGTACCACCTTGTATATTTTCTCGAATGTTTCAATTATGACTGTGTTGATAGCCTTGCGAATTCCATTTTTTATAGGGTTTTTTTTGAGGCGACATCAAATTTGTATTTTATTTTTACGTTTCTGAAAAAAAAAATCGCTAAATGCTTTGCACTTTTACAATGACCACAACAATATCAAAGCCAAATCTTCTTGATGAAATATATTTTGAAGGTAAGTTAAGGTATAAATGAAGGTTACTACTCTAAACTACTAGGCTATATTATGGTTCTCCGGTGTTAACATTTAACATAACATCTTAAAACCTTAAGATTTTAACGTATTATTTTCGCAAATTTGAATATGCGTCTGATTAGTTGCCTAGCTATAATTTTAAAAAATAGAAATGCAAAAACAATATTAATTTTTGATTCAAGCTACTGTTTCTCCATAGTTTTATTCTTGATTTGCAGATATACTCCAGAAGAACTCCACGCAATGGTCGATCTCAAACCCGAGAAAAAGGATGACGACTGAATAGGTTATACGAATGAATATAAGATCCCATTTCGACGACAATAATTCACTTGGCTTTTATATTGCAATTATATTGGTGCCTAATACCTGTTAAAATTCTTATAAATTGTGTCCGTTGCATTTCAAACTAAACCGCGTTTCGCACACGAAGGATTAAATTTAGTATTAAGCGAATCGATACCAATTTTCGACTGCTTGAAAGTGCGAGTCACTGGCATGTGATTATATTACCAAAAAGGAAACAAAATTTTGCAATTTTGAAACAAATCGATTGCAAACTTACAATCCTTACGTACGTATATTTTTTTAAATTGTAAATTCTCCCCACCCCCCTAAAGCGATCTCAAGCCGCCACCGCATCCGAACGAAAAAGTCGTGAAAAACAAGTTGCATCAGTTTTTCATGTAAATATAAAAATCGTTTATTCAAAAATACCAATATCATGGTCATTTTTTGAATGACCACATTAGTATCCAATACCGAGGGCTAAAAAAGTTAAAAGTCGTGTGTCCATGCTTTTATAGTATTTTAACTTTCACCATATGTTGAAATATATTAATTCCGTAAGGATTCATTTAGTACGTCTCTATCGAGAATTTTAAAAAGCTCCATAGCAGGCGATTTTTTCACCTATTTTGTCAATATTGCGTTTTTGTTTTTAGCTCTTTATCAATATATGAACCTATAAACAGACAAAAAATTCTGACACTTATATTGGGGTAAAATGTGGTAAGACAAAATATTGTTAACATTTTAAAAATCTATTTGGACCAAGCTAAGGGCCATGCTAAAGTTATAAATCATTAGGATTTAGCAAAAGGTGAAACCTACGCTAAACCTACCCTACAACTGATAAATTGATCAAGTTTTGAATTGTTGGTAATCAAAATTGGTTTTCTGTTTTTTTTTTATATTGATAATTTATATTTATAATTCAAATGACCAAGGCTTCGGTAACCATTCATAAAGTCAATTTAAAGGATAGTTTATAAAACTGCTGCACTTTTTTTCACTCGAATAGCAAACAATTTCCAACCAATTACAATCAAACGCATGAACAAACTGTATAATTCAATTTGCTCTCTCCCCGATTTTACCTTTCAACCAAGAAACGTTCTGTAAATATAATTGTTATTGTGATAAGCCTATTAAATCAGATAGTAGAGTAATGTTTATATTTGGATTAATCGATTTTTGGGGTAACACGTTGACCCTTTTATATTGGATGTCCTTCCTGTTAAATAGGAACAAGTTTATTATGTTAATTTTTTTTAGATTCTTCTAATTAGTCGACCCGCTGTTAAAAATCGAGGGTTCGGTTCGAACACAGAAATTTGGTTAGTTTGGGTTAACATTCGTTTCAAATTTTCTAAAGGCAAACATTTGAAAACATTCCAAAGATTTTATAACACATGCTTCTTTGGGCGTATCCGGGATATTTTGGCGACTCTTCGATTTTAATGTTAACCGCGCGTTGGTTAATTTTTAACTTGTGGTCTCAACGTAGGTTTTTAATTAAGTTATTACTATTAAATCAGAAATACTTGAAAGATATGGCGATGATCTCGTTGTAAGGGATCGGGCGATCGCTGTTTTTTTGTTTAATGTGTTATTCCTACATATTACGACTACTGTATTAAACAAAAAGTGTTTCAATAAAAATACTTATATTGGTTAAATTGTTGATTTCATTTCATTTTAATCCCACCCTTTCAGGTATACTCTAGATCAAGAAACTTTCTTTCGTCTAAAGTTAGTTGTGTGCACTATGTGAGACTGGCGATACTCCAATGACAGTTCTTTCGGATATTACAAACAAGATCATTAAGATTCAAAAACCGAATGGGGCATAAATCATCATGATTCTGTTTATGGGACCACCCAAGACAGTTTAGACAAAAGCCAATTTTTTTGATAATAATAATTAATAATCGGTTGATTAATTAATACCTGTTATTCTGTAATAATTTATTCTTAGAAAAATACAAATGTATTGAAATTGTCTTAATCTATTTTTTTAATCTACTTTACACAAGACGTAACTAAACGATAAGCTGGAAAACAATATTAAACAACTCATATAGATCAATCACTCCTTCGCATCACCTATTCCATCCGGATTAATTGCAAACATAGCTTCAGCTTCAGGCAGACAAGGAGAATCATAAATTTTACACATACGTGTTTCACCCCTACCTTTTCTTAAATACAGGCGGGTCGTGGAAGCATGGGCCATTATATTGCCTCCAATTGGTTTTTTGGGATCCGCATTGAACATGGCTGCTCCATCTACTTGAGCCACCACCTGATTTGTTATTACGACTGCCACTCCAAACTATAACAAAAATAGGAAGCAAATTGTGTATATTGTAAAATTTACTTACTTCATCAGCCAAACGAAGAAGCATTCTTAAAAATCTAGCTAAATGCATTTGTCTAGCAGACAATTCACTTCGTCCAGAATAATCAGTCCTATATAAGGCCATTGCGCTGTCTACAACTAATAAAGCATACCTAAAAAATCAAAACATAAACATCCATTACAGATCCGCAACTGTAAACTGTTCGAGACAAAATATTGTTGAAGTTCATGAAAAAAACCTAATTTTACCAATAAACAGAGTGAAAGCAGGCATGTTTTATCCTAGATATAGTTCAGTTACGTTCAGTTTGGTTTATTAATTTAACCACGTAATATAGATTATGTATATGTAGCATGTCAGTTTGTACAAATAAGTACATAAATATAGCAAAGACAAACAAAACGACAAATGGCGCCAAATAGAATTTATAATTAAAATGTTCATCACTGCTATAGAAGCAATTATTAACAAACACCGACTTGATTGCCCTCTGAAAAGCTTTTACACTTAAAGCTTGAACATTTGTTGGAAGAGTATTGTAAAATGGATTTAATGATTTATTTTTAGTTTTACATAAACGATAACGCGGTACTCGCAGAAGATGAGAATTTCTTGAAGAAAAGTTATGAATGTCTGAGTGTCAAATATAGTTTGTCTTATTTCTATGGATTTCATTAAATGTACAATATATAAAGACTGAAGATATGGCATTATTCGCAGACTAGAAAAATAAGGTCGACCATGATTCTAAGTAATTGAGATTTAATAGAATTCTAATTGCCTCTTTTTGGAGTTTAGAAACCCTTATTGCGTGGTTAGAATTTCCCCATACTATAACTGCATAATATATTTTAGAATGTAACAATGCAAAATAGATGTTTCTTACTCTCGTTTAAATCGTTTATGTAAATAATGAAGAAAAATAGTCCTAAGGCAGATCCTCGAGGGACTCCATGTTTTAGATTTAAACTAGGTGAGGATTTAAACTGATCTGGAAATGTGGCAGTTAAAGAAATGTTGAATAAATGTAACAATACAGGCACTAAAGTGTGCTTAGAATCTTTTATTATTCTACTATTAATATTAAAAACGTCTTGACTTGTTGAGTTTTTTAAAGAGTGGATTGCATTCATTATCATATCATCTGTAATAAAAGGGAATTCAAAAAGTTTCCCGAGAATATTGTTAACTTCAAAGAAATGAGTCGAGGATGGATCAAGAATTCTATCAAAAATATTTTCAGCCACGCCAGTAAAGTGGAGGTTAAATTGCCACAATCTATGTTAGAATAGTTGTTTTGAATAACAGTTGTTTATTTAATAATTTATTAATCTCCAAGAATCTCTAGATTTATTTTCAAAATAATTAATAAAAGTACTAAATGCCTGTTTTTTGGCAAGAGCAAATTCTTTAATATAGTTATATGTCCCAACCTGCAGACGAAGCCCAAAGCTAAGCGAAGATAACGCATTCTTTTTATTCGAATGTCATAGTGTAAAATGTGCTCTTAATTATTCCAGCCTTTGTATCGGCCAGTCCAAATAAAACTTTATTTCGGCTTCTGTGCAAATAGATGTTTTTAAAAACACTCTCCAGAATTTTGAACATTTAAGTACATACCTTTTACAAATCTTCTGGATTCCTCCTGTTTCGGTTTTAGCTGAGTCGAATTTACTGACGTTTCGCCAATCATCCTGTTGGCTTCTTCAGAGCTTGACTGAAACTGGATCGCATAGCCTCTCGTATTTTTCGTTGGTAGAAGAACTGATTACATGCAAGAATTTTAGTTTTATCGAATAACATTTTATGCCCGGTTTCATGAGTTTGTTTGGCAACAGCTGATGAGAGGACAAATAAACTCGTCAGCTGTTGTCGAACACACTCATGAAACCGGGCATAAAATTTTATTGGATTAAACTAAAATTCTTGCATGTAATCAGTTCTTCTACCAACGAAAAATCCGAGAGTCTATAGAAATCTATCAACAACCTATCTATCTTAACCGCGACTCAGGTCTCTACCTGTCACCAATTTGGGAATCAGTCAACCGAGACGGTGTTTATACCCCTCATTAGCACCCCTCTCAAACAATATATTAATATATATCTCTGAAGAAACCAACAGGATGATTGGCGAAACGTCAGCAACTTCCACTTAGCAAAAGCCGACGCAGGAGGAATTCAGAAGTTTTATAAAAAGTATTACAGTAGCCTGTGGAAGTTTCTTTGAAAAATTTAAGTACATATTTGGTTTTGAAAGTCTTTTTACAGTTGCCAAAAAGTTTCTTTTTTCTCGAAGTGATTCAGAATACCAATTTACCAGGGGTTTATATTTATGCTTAAGAGGAAAATATTTATTAATGTTATTAGAAAATATGGTGCATAGTAAATGGGATAAGTAGGTAATGTCATAAGAAAAAAAACTAAACCAGTTTAGAGATTCTAGAGATAGCGTAAATTCTTATGGGTAAATTTTCTAGTACAGCACGGTACCGAGGAAGGAGTAGTACCTTTTGTTCTCATTATATTAATCAAGTATCTGTTGTAGGATTGTTGCTTTCTCTTAACTTACAATTACCTAGATTCGGCCATCATTGCTGATGCTTGGATTAATAGCTGGGTTTGGTGATCAGTATTATAAGCCCTTGCATAAGCGACATTATCAAGAACTTCTTGCTGGTTCATTTTGAAGCGTTCTGCTACAGCCAGCAACCTCTCTGGTCGAAATGTACCCTCTGTATCAATATAAAGACATTTGCCTTCTGCACCTCCACACTCTGTTGGTAACTAAAAGAAATATTTTTGTTAACAAGTATTACATAATTAGACTTTTTGGATTTCAACTACAATTTCCATCTCTACGTTGTAGAAAACTGGTTTATTTACAGTCAAATATAGCCCAGGCTAAGAATTCTGAAGCTCTAACCCTTCTTTAATGGATAAAAGCTTTGCTGGTGTGAGGTGAATGCAATTCCTCACTGCATGAGAAGGGATTAATTAGTATACAGACCTGGCAAGTAACGGCGAGAGTATGACAAATTTGTGTCTTTCCAGTTCGAAACTCTCCAAACATCTCTGTTATTGAGCCAGTTTCTATTCCTCCTCCCAATAATCTATCCAGTTCTTTTGAACCAGTCGTTATTGTTATCATATCGGCGCGCTTCTGATGAAATTCAGTTGCTGTTGTAAAACCCATGGGAACTAATTTTGATGCTTCACTCAATATCTTGTCCGCTTTGGCCTCAGATATACCTTTGATGGTTAAAAGATGTTTTTTTGGAGCAAATGCCACAGACTCAATTGTATGATATCCAGATTCTTCAAGTTTCTTTATGTCGCCAGCATTAATACCATTACCCTACAATTTAAAAAGTTCTGAATTGTATTCACCAGAGCTAATACAATTCACCTCAAGTCTGCCAATGGGTTGTGGCCCGCAATCGTCAATTTCATCTTCCACAGCGGTTGTTGTAGAAGCTGCACTAACGCTCATTTTTCAAATATCAATAAGAGCAAACTTCTAAATTCGTTCAACACAAGCACTCAATTACAAAACTTTACACTTTCAAATTGTTTGGTCACAGATAAATAATTTTCAAATTTTTATTATATGCTTAGTATAATTGCGATTGGCATGTAATATTTTAACCACAATACACCAGAAACAACCGTCCAGAATTTATTTAGTTCCGATTTAGGAACTTATTTTTGGATTTTGTAAGGTTCGAACAATAATGCTTCCCTAGACATAATTTTTAAATAACCTTTATTTGAATTTGTGTGTATTTTTTGTTCTGGCATAGAAATAAGCGTTCTTACACGGATAGATTTTTAACCAAAAAATACGAAATACAATACAGCCCTGTTGCCTTCTCAAGTTCTAAAATCGTCCGTACTATTTGAAGTTGCTTTTAAATTTGACATTTTTGTTTAGTTTGGGACATTATTTGTTGAAGAGGAAGTATCCAAATCCAGGATTTATTTAGTTCCGATTTAGGAACTTATTTTTGGTTTTGTAAGGTTGAGGGGTTTTATCACTTCCCGATTCTTTTTGCTTATAGCTGATTAAAGATTCTTAAAGTTTGAGAAATCGAACAAAAAAGCTACCCTAGACATAATTTTTAAAAAAATCTTTATTTCCATTTGTGTGTATTTTTGTTTTTATGGCATAGAAATAAGCGTTCTTACATAGATAGATTTATAATCAAAAAATACGAAATACAATACACCCCTGTTGCCTTCTCAAGTTCTAAAATCGTCCGTTCTATTTGAGGGCGCTTTTAAATTTGACATCTTTGTTTAGTTTGGGACATTATTCGTTGAAGAGGAAGTATTCAAATTATTTCATAAAAATAAATTGAATAAGTGCTCTAAATTACACAACACTGAATTCAATTATTCAATTTTTCAGTACCATTTCTACTAAGTAAGCAACCGATGGTCCTGCCTCGCTCTTTTAAAACCGGCTTAATTTTTGTTTATTTTTGGTCGATTATATTTTCGATACACAACTAATAGTATTTACATATCTTTGCTTTAGATAACGTATCATGATGATAACACTGGTAAACTGCACTTATGAACGAATCTACTAGATTCTTTAAATTTGAAATTTGGGTGCATCAGACAAAGAAATGTAATTTGAAAAATGTTCATGGTAGGATTAAATGCTGCCCTTTTTTGCTTGTGCCTATTTTGTGTAAAGGTTTTAAGTAAGGGTGAGTAGTTTTTTGTAAATTATGATAAGTAAGAACGTGGGTTTACTTGTCGGGTTAAAAATAATTAAGTTAACCTATAAAAAAAATTACCATTTTAAATTTGATTTGAAGTATATGAGGTCTATAATATTTTTTGTTTATATTTGTGAGACAAATATTTCATGCTTTCAGTTGCCAAACAATGTAGCTCAGACATAACTGGATCAGAAATTTGTTCAGGAGAGAAGGAATATTGCGATCCAGTTAGTAGAAAATGTCAGTGCCTCCCCAACTACACCGAGGAAAATAATCAATGTATACCTCTACCGATTAACCCTGATTGTTCTGATCTGGCTGACAACCGAGGAAATGGATCTCTCATAGCTGGCATTTTAATTCCACTGTTTTTAATTATAATTGTGATATGTAGTATTTATGTAGTTAAAAGGTATGAGTTAGGAACCTGGATTAGAAGCAAGTTGCATAGAAGAAATCATAATTATGATGAAGTTATGATTGGTCAAGATTTAAATGATGATGATGATCCTCCTCTCGCTTAAATATTCTATATTTTTTGTTGCTTCTTCAGGAAGAATTATTTTTTATGTTGAAAGCGTACAGTTGGGAATATGGAATATACAAGTTGTTTGTACATTTTTGTAATTACTTTAAATATTTATTTCCATTAAAGTTCATAAAAGACTTATTTTGCCTAATGTACCAAAGTTAACTATTAAATAAAACGTTCTGTAGCATATTTCTACATTTCTTTTGAGGGCCTCAAACATTATGCAACATATACCTAAGCTAGATGAGAGTATTTCATAATTTATACAATTATATTTAAAAAAAAAATCAGATGCTATATTTTTTACAATTAACTCTGTAAATATGTTTAACAATTTTTCAGAATATTAAAGTGATCCCCCAGAAAATTAAAATTGTTTATAACTGCACAATATGAAAAACATTATAATTAATGAGATCAACCATTAAACATGTAAAACCTAATCTCATCCAGTAGTCCACACAAAAGGTTCAAGTCTGTCTTCAATATCTAAATGATTATTCAAAGTTTCCATTGATTCCAAGATTTCATTTAAAAGCATATGACACCTGTTCAATTGGTGAGATAGTTCTTGCACTTTTGAAAATTTCTCTACATACTTTGCAAACTTTTTCTGGTTATCTGTTGCAACTGTTACAATTTTGCTGATGTCAGCATCCACCTAAAAATATGAAATGCATAATGAATATAAGGCAATATGATAAAAGAAATAAAAAAATAAAGATGACCTAATTGAAAGTAGAGAAAGTACCAACCTCTCTGATTTTCTGTGTTAATAAGTTTTGCTCAGTTGCAACAAGATTGGCAGAAGAAGTCAAATGATGTTGATATCTCAAACATAGGTTTCTAATAGGTGTTGGGTCCAGCCTTTCTAATACCTCTGGATCCCTCGCCGCAGGAAGGCTCAAAGTTGCCCTCATTATTGGCAAAAACATTGGTATGCTCTGTAAGCGTAAAACATCCGGATCTTTATCTGTTACATTTGAAATTGTTTCAGCCTCTCGAACAACAACAATATTGCGTGAATTCTTAGATTTTGGTGCAGGTTTCGATGATTGAAGTCTTCTGGTGGTTGTGGACTTGCTTTTTATAAGTTGCTTGTTAGCTAACTTAGGTGAATCTAGAATTTAATTTTTAAAGACATCTTATCCAATATTGTTGCGACGTACCTCCAATTGGTCTATTAACTGTGTAACTTATATAAGGGAGATCTACGTCACTACACACACTAAGCCCTGGAGAAACAGACCCTGTTCGAATAGTATCACTTGATTCTGAAATATTATTGCTTCCAGGATTCGCAATAGTATGTTGCCTTCTTAAATAAGATTTATCCTTGGGTTTAAGTTGGGTTTCTACATTAATTTGACTAGACTGTTCTGAACCCATTATTAATAAAAATTTGACTTTATTGTTTTTGTGTTAACCTACATCAGTTTTCTTTTTCTTCTTAAGATCAATTGGCCAAAATTACTAAGATCATTCGAACAGTGACAACAATGTTCAACATTAATACGTGTAGGTTAATTAAGTTAACGATTCGTGTTGGTCACCGATCGACCCATTCACTAACACTCGTCCGCGATAAAAGTTTTTTAATCAGTACTATAAAAAACGCGGCTTCCCTCGCTTCCACCACGGACCACCGAGCCCATCCGGTCTGGCTACCGACGTGTATAGGGTAAACAACGAAACCGGGGGACAGTTATATCACTAAAAGGCACTATCTTTTCACTAAAATCGAACACAATAATAATTTGACCCAAAACAAGTCTTAAATTTTGAAAATTAGAATTCTGTAGGCAGTGGACAAGAATCAACGTGAACCGTGGAATGCTAGCCACAGAATTCCACATGAGTTTTCGTTTTGACTTCCTTGGATCATTAACTTCATGCAGCAACATTCCGAATTTGGTCGATTGATCCTAGCATTATTCGTTTTTGTTTAATTATCATAAACCCCATTTGTTTGAAGCTGGAAAGAAGAAGAAGAACCCTAACCGTACTGCGTCAAATTACTGCTTATTGAATTTATGGACGTTTTTTTAGAAAATTAATCTCAAGAAAATGCCTAATTGCAGCGAGAATTACGAGTCGGAAATAAGAGATGGCAAAAATAAAGGGTCTGTAAAATGTAGATTCTGTCAATCGGTTATTTTAACGCCTTCAACGGCCTCCTTTACAAGTTTGGAGGTGGGTTTCAATTTTTCCTGAATAGTCGCTCCAAATTTATTAAAATTTTGGCAATTATTTTTAGTGTAGTTTACCTTTAATAAAACAGAAAAAAGAAAATGAAACAAATCCAGAGACTGAAAGTGTTTCTTTATTTTGGGAAGTGAAGGATATGTTCACATTCCACAATGTGGGTTTTTCTAATACTGTAGGAAATAATAAATACCTTACCTGTGCAGACTGTGAAGCAGGGCCCATTGGATACCACGACATTCCAAGCAAAATAAGTTATGTAGCATTAAGTAGAGTTACTCATGTTTGATGTATTTGTACATTTGATAGATGACTTGTAATAATCTGTAAACACAATAAAGACATAGGGATACTCAATCATACTGCTGATAAGATTTTTACGCATTTCGTTAAACAACATTATAGAACATGAAGGTTTAATTTTAATAAATAAAATGCGACTTTCGTTTTTGAAAAACTGTTTCCGATAGACACAGAAATGTGTTACAAAACTTATCAAAATGAATCGAAAAATATAGCAATAATACGTTTAATTTAAAATTTCAAAGAACAAACTTTTTCGCAGAAGTGACACCGTCGCATGGTTGAAAAAAATTTAAATCAATCCTTTTTATGTAAATGATTAATTTTTCAAAATGTTTCTGTAAACTTCTAATCTGTCATCGTTTGTGAAAATAACCAATATTTCGAAATCCACCAGAGATAGATACAGAATGTCCCATGTAAAATATAAAAAAAAATCATCAAAATAACATCCCTGAAAACATTGAAACAATTCCGGAAAATCAAAAGTGTTCATGGTACCCACGCAATGTTTTTTGCAAACATCCTATATGGCAGATAACATCGTTACGCCTCTTAAAGAAGACGCTCCGGCCATATAACGGTTAAATAAGGTGAAAAGGCATTTTTCCTTTTTCGATTTAATTACAAAAAAGGAACCGTCGGTGTCGGTAAGCAACAATTGACAACATAAATGAAGTTTTTAAATCCTAAGCAGCGTTTGGAGGCCAAAGTTAATATCTAAATATGGACGAGGAAAAAGAATTATGGTGTTTCTTGGCAAAATGACTAAGTAGTATGTTTTGCACGTAGGGTAAGAATTTTTTGTCGTGTACTAAGAGTGAACTCTCTTGTCGTTGGTGCCTCTAGTAACACCTTATCACATTAACCGCATGTGAAAACGCAAGGCCAAATTTATATGACGATCTATTATGGTATCTACTAAATACCTTTGTGCGTCCTTTTTATTGGCTTATATTCATCGCAGAGAAAAAACATAAAAACATTCGAAATAATTTTTAGTCAATTTGATATTTTTATTTGTGTAATATTTTAATAAGAATTACAAACTAAAGGTATAATTGCTTCGAGACTGTCATTTCAAATTTAGTATTTTTGAAATAACCAATCACCAATCCATAATGGTTAATTTCATTTCAACTTTGAGGAACATTTTAACCACAGTTATTTGCGTCTTTTGAAATGACTAGAGAAGAGGAGTAGATTGATAGTATATTATGCAACAAGTGCGGTAAACGGCATTTGACTGAGGAGTTTATTTGAGACGAGCGGAGTGAGTGAATAATAGAGTGACTTAAAAAGTTTACCGAAGATGTTGCATACCATACTTTTTCTACGACCGTTAGTTTTTGGGTACATTTTCGCAAAACAACACGAATACTTTCACTGACATGACAGTCAGAATTGACAAACGTCAAAATTCCAAGCGTAGGAAATATTTCCGAAAACATCCCATTTCTCCCAAACCCGTGCGGTAAAATCCCGGAAATGTCCGAAGTGGTTCGGATTCGTGGGAAAAGAAACTGACATGGTAAAGTGACGCTTACCGCACGCTCGATCGGTGCGTAATTAGGTATTTTACAGGCGGGAGTAGAAAAAATATTTTTTTTCTACTCCTCCTCCCCACCACTAGTGGGTTTGGGGTAAAAGGGTCATGTTTGGTGTTATTGAACAGTTTTTTTATTCAATATCTGAAGGTATTTTGTGTCCAGTAGTGTTTAGAAATATTCCATCTTTTCCATATTTTATGGACACCTGACATATATTCTATCAATATTTTGAACTACTCATGTCAGGGTAAGCCGAATTTGTGAAAATTCTGTACCACTAAATGAGAAGTTTTTTTAGTTTTAATTGAAACTGATATTATTATAATTTATTATTTATAATTATTTCGATAGATTTAAAAAGCCCTAAATGGATTATCATTATTTATAATTTTATATCTCTTTAATTTTAAGAGATAACAAGAACTTTTCCATACAGCGACACTGATGTATACATTGTTCACACATTTCAACACCAACGGAAAGAAAGATGGGTAATTGTTTTATATGTTTCCCGGCATTTTGGTAAAGGTAAGTATGGTGTGTCTCAAAGTATTATCGCCTTGGCTATTAGAGGTAATGTACGACAGAACATCAGGGACGGACAGGTGTTATTAGAATATAAAGCATATGAATTCACACTTCCAAAGTTTTATCATTTGTAACTAATATTCTTGAAACTCAGTTTTGGTATTTGATTTTGTAGCAGGCAGCTATGATAGTTTCCGTTATTCATTACAAGGACACTGTTTTGGTTATTCGTTTTCCATTATTTGAGGGTGATTGTGTTTGACAGGTTTTTACTGGAATCAACCCATCCTTTGGATAGTGTATCATGTGTATTAACCTAGATAAATTATACATCTGTGTTTCATACTTTTAAAATTTTCTGAATGTAAAAAAAATCTCCAAGTTCGCAATCTGTGCGATTCCATTATCACTTCTTTTATGTCTATTTTGCGGTATTTAAATCCCAATCTGGTTTTGATACGAGGTCTACCTTTTACCAACAAATGTGACTATTGTTTGTCAAAATATTCACCCTGATGATCACTACACTTTTGCATTCGATAAAACCAATCATCAAAACACTTTTCCCACATCGATTCGGTCACTCCAAAACATGCTTTTTAAACGCATCAATCGCTTCTTCTGGTGTCAAAAATCGTTGCCGAAGTAATTTATTCTTAATATATGGGAATAAAAAGAAGTCATTATCAGGACTATATGGTGGATGGCTCATCAAATCAACGTTTTTAAAAAAATTCTTTGTTTGCACTGATCAGTGAGAGCTAGCATTGTCGTCGTGAGGAGTGATTCGTCTTCGGAGGTTGGTTTTTCTAATTTCTTCGAAGACTTTCGGCAAACAAATGGTTGTGTACCATTCAGAATTGACTGTTTTACCTTTCACCAAAGAAACAGTTGCAACGCGGCCAGTTTTCCTGAAAAAACAGGCTACCATTTGTTTCGAGGTGCTTCGCGCACCAACAACTTTTGTGGGCTTTGTCTCATTCTGCTGCTTACTTTCAGGTTCATATGCATAGATCCAGGAATCATCACCTGTCACGATATCATAGACGTGTTTGGAAGCACCGAGACCGTATTTTTTTAGCATTTCCTTCGACCAATCAACACTAGCCTTTTTTTGCGCAAATTGTGTGGAATCCAAGAAGAACAAATTTTTTTAGCGGCCAAATGTTCATGCAAAATTGTATATATGCTGGTCCCACTAATGCCCAAAGATACCTCAATCTTAAGGTAAGTCATATGACGATCCTGCAAAATCATTTACCGCATTGCATCAATGTTTTCTTGCACAGCCACCGATTTGGGACGACCTTCACGCAATTCATTCTTAAGAAAACTCCGACCACGACTGGAGTCCGAAAACCAGAGATAAACAGTGGTCCTAGATGGTGCTTTAAATCCAAAAGTCGAATTAAGTTCATCGATGCATTGTTGTTGAGTTAGGCCACGTCTAAAGTTGTAAAAAAAGTTTTAAAAAAATATTGCACGAAAATGTTCCCGATTAAGTTCCATTTTTAACCGTCACAATTTTTTTAAATTTAGCACAAAAAACACACACAACACTCTTTCGCCAAAACCTAACTGAGTAAACCTAACCTCAAAATGTCAAACTTCCCTATAAAAACGTTAGTCTCCAGATGGCAGGACTAGTTTAAGAAAATCCCGAAATATAAAAGGCAGCCCTCGTATAGGGAATACATTTTCCTTCTTATGATAGCTGGTTCACTATTGTCCAGACGGTGAGATTTAAAATAACTCAAAATAATCCAGTTTTAATAATATCCTTTATCAAGGTTATTGGCGTTTTTGAAAGTATGCAGATTTCTTTTAAAGCTTCTTTTTTAATGAATCCTCTACTTTTAAACATTTATAGACATTTTTCACATCCTGATTGCATCCAATGACAAGTGACTTCGACGTGATATACCTATGAATATGAAGGTAGTTACTACTTTTTGGGCGAGGGTCCGTTAAAAGCCAAGACCATATAATTTGAGACCCACCATACGTATTAAATAACTCAATGCGCCCGTTCAACATTTTACTTTCTCGACTGAAATCACCCTAGGTAAGCTCTTGACCTTAAATATTGAAATTGGTAAAGGATCGTGCCTGGGTAATTTCAAAAGACGGATGACAACAAATTCAGCATGCACGCGAGCCAAATGAAGCGAAAACCACTTTCTCCGTATAACCGACAACGCCAACGGTCCTTACTGAATTGCTTTCTAAGGTGAAGATGTCAACGTTCAATGTTTATAGTTAGTGGAGTTGCGTAATATTTTTTACAGCTGCAACGTAATTGCAAAGATAAAAATCTGGAAAATCTTAAGCGGGTCGTGCGCAGATCTTCGTGCGAAAATAAGCACGGTTCGCCCCGTGTCAATGATTCGGTTGGCGCAGATTCCAATAATCTCACGTCCATATCGGTCGTTTGTCGTACATCATCATTAACATTTAAAATCAAGATCATTTTGCGTTTTGTTCCGACGAAGATGTGTGGGTACAGATTAGAGTTACGCGTGACGTTCTCATTCCCATTATACCGAACGCGGGCTCTATTAATTATGAATTCTCGCAGTCGTCGTCCATGTCATTAATGACCTCATTATTCTAACGCAGTCGCTTTTTGACGTTCGAGAAATGATGTTTAAAAAACAAATTATAAAAAAAGATGAATGATGAAATCGATGTGCATACATTTTTGAAACAAAAATACATATACAGAGTGCCAGTTTTAAGTGATCCCACTATTGTTGTCTCCGAACTAGTAAAGGTCGGTTAAATTAGAGAAAGGATGCCTTTTTCTGGACCATTAGACGTTGGCTTACAGTGTTGACAAATTACTCTAATGTCCTTTTGGTCCGTTCTTCCTTCTAAATTTCACATTAGCTCTTTGCTAAGGAAAGTATAGCAAATATGGAGAACTAGTCATTTCAAAGAACAATTATGGTCAACGGTTTATTCTATTTAAATCGCCTATAACTTTGACCTC